GTTGTAGTTCCTTCTTGTAAACCTCACGATAATATAAGAGGGAGTGATTCATTTTGGTGGTATTGTCATTGTTGGTTGTGTGCCTTCAAGTCATTTCAAACTTATGGCAACCTTAAGACAAGCCTATCATGGGATTTTCCTGGCATGATTTCTTCAGAGAGGGTTTGCCTTTTTCATTCTCTGAGGTTGAGAGAGTGTGATTTGCCCAAGGTCACCCATGTCTGAACAGGATTTTGACCCCTGGTTTCCCAGTGTCCTTGTCCAATGCTGAAATCACCACACTATGCTGGCTCTCCCAAGAATGCATAGATACAAGGAAATGTCCCTGTAAATATCCACAGGCAAGATCTACAGCAGATCATCGATTTGTTTTTCTCTATATAGTAATAGGGATTTGCAGCTTGGACAAGGTCTGTCTGGACCTCTGTGCCATAGCAAAATTTCATCTCTTCTTAGTGAAGATAATCTATCAGCCAAGGGAAAACTACCCCTTGCTGAAGTATGTCAGTAATTTTACACTTGTTTTAAAAACAAGTTTTACATTTGTTGAGGCAAAATGTGTGTTTCTTATAATAATTTCAATTTTGGAGGAAAAATTGAAGATGATAAATTGGAGTTATTTAATACTATGCAATATGTGCATGGTGTAGTAGTTTGAATGTTGGACTATGATTTTGGAAATCCAGGTTCAATTCCCCATTTGGCCATAGAAAACCACTGGGTGACCTTGAGTGAGTCACACACTCTCAGCCTCAGAAAATCCCACGATTGGTTAGCTGTAGGGTTGCCATAAGTTGGAAATGACCTGAAGGCACACAACAACAACAAATATGTAGAGGAATGCATGATGGAAGTTGGCAGACATAATGAGGTATGTAAGCGCAGCTTGATGTAGTCTGCATACATTCACTGAATCATAGTAGCTCTTTTTACAGTCAGCTCCAACTCATCCCAAAAATGAACAGCTCCAAGGAGGCCAGACAAGATTAATTATATCTACTGTACTATCTTGCAAAAAATAAAGATAGGCACCATTCAATCTGCAGGGGAGCCTTCATCGGGACATTGTTTGTTTTTTGCAGAGCTTGGGAAACATTATTGTTGAACTACAGCTTCCAGAATTTTTAGGGGATCACAGAGTTTCAGGATTCTGGGAACATTAGCCTACAAATATTTTTTCCAGGCTTTGCTTTTATGTTGTTATTTATCCCAGCAGATAATTTATTATTCCAAACATATGTTTAACATATGATTATTTATGCATTTTAAAAAAATTCACAGGAATTTGTTTTGTTAAAAATGAGTCTCACTACTCTAGTTATGATTATCTTTGACTGATCATTTTTCTGTATGATTAAGTATAATGAGTCAAATTCAGTGTACTTTACATTGATAGGAAAGTTTATTTTTTTTAAAAAATCCAAATAATGCCACCATTCATTAAGTAATAAAGAAGAAGGAATTTTGCATTCCTGCACAACCAGCTTGACATATCTGAAAAGCCGCAAAGGTTTAAATCAACATATAAATCAGCAGAAAACATGACATGTTTTAAAGGTGTATGGGAATACAGAAACAGTATGCAGGGGTGTCATTAGGGGTGTGTTAGGTTGTGGCCCACACTGGATGTACACCCAGGGGGGGTGTAAACCCAGTGGGGCAGTACACCCAGTGGGACCATCACAAGCAATAAGGGGTGTCATGTCCCTTTATTGCTTGTCCAGCAGTTACACTAGACCCTGAACAGGACATCTGAGGGATGCAGCACTGCACCCTAGTAGTAATCTGGCTGGGTGGTGGCCAGGTGGCCAACAGAAGGAGGGAGGCACAGTCCACTGCCAGCCATCCCTCACAGCCCTTTCCAGGCACCCGCACTGGGTGACACAATCTGCAGTGACACCATGGGCAGTATGTGGTATTTGGTGTACATGCACCTAGATCTACAATGGTGTCATGGTATATGCTCAGTCACAGGGATTTTTAAAAAGGACCTTATTTAACATAAGGCACTGTCATTCTTTACTATTTAGGAATAAGATCTTAAGTATATTTATTAAGAAGTAAGTAATCTTTCATGAATTTTGAAGTAAGCTTGATAGAGTATAATAATGTGGGGGTATCAAAAATAGAACTTAAGAATATTGTCTTAAATAGACAATATTTAAGAAAAATGACCTGGATTGGATCCAAAATTAGCTGTATTTCAAGTAGACCCAATGAAATCAAGGGGATATGCTAGTAAATCTGACAAATCTGAGCCTCTTTCAGCACAGCAGAGGAGCAGCAGGGGGGGAATGTTGCTACTGCTGCTGCTGCTGCTGCTGTTGCTGTTGTTTAATCCTTGCATTCCCAGTTGGTTTCCCCCCCCCCCACTTTTAGTGCACACACCATATATACTGTGTGCATTGGAAATGGGGTTTATTCATCTTTCTGTGTGTGAGAGAGTGATAGAGAGAAAGAGAGAGAGATAGAGAGAGAAAGAGGTCCCTGTATTAATTTTTTTACTGTTAATTCTAATTGAGAAAACTAGCTGGAGCAGATTATGTTGAGCAAATTCAACAATCCCTTCTGCTGAACCTCCTGCCCACAGCTATTTGATTTTTGACAGGGACAGGTCTTTTTAAAGCTACTTGGTCTTAATTGTCATTGAAAACCAAGTTACTCCCCAGTTCTTTCCACATTAACAGAACAGCTCATAAAAATACATTGGCTGGCATCCTTCTGGGTATCTTACATGCCTGTATTAATACTGTTTTCCAAGCAGTTGTGCTTTTGGAGACATTGCATAAGAATCCTAATCAGGATACACAAGTTGTGCTACCCTAGTTCAACCCATGTAGCTACACTGGCATAATTTCATCTTATGTAGGTGGTGAACAGAATCTTGGCCTTTGTCACTGGAAAAAATAATTCCTTTCTCTCACCACAATTTTTATTTATTTACTTTATTTATATGCCACCTTTTTCCTAGGCTGGAAACCAAGGCAGCTTCCATAACAACAAATTAAAAACATTTACAAAAACTTTAGAACCAATTTAAAAACACCACATTAAAACACTATTACTACTGCTGGCTGGGCTGTAGCGAAGCTCTGAAGCATGTGAATCAAAATGTTGCTGCACTTTGACCCTGTGAAAAATGATGGGTGTTTTATCAGACACCTGCTCTCTGAATTTCCGTTGCTCAGTCCCACTTTTTTGTGCCCCTGCAGCCTTATCTGTAGCCTGCAGTACTAAACTGTGACACTAGATGCCATTCATCTCCCCCAGAAATAAGGCTATACCCTCCAACTGTCCCAACGTGGCAAGGACAGTCCCAATAAATCCTCTGTCTTCCCACTTTTTCAGTGATTTTGCTCTCATCCTCCCCATTTCCCCCTTTGTTCCCAGCTTGCTTCACCTGCTGCAAAGTGAGTTCAAAGTGCAAAAGCAGCAAGATTTATTCTTGCATTCAGTTGACTCAGCAACAGGGAGAGGAAAGGAAGGGGAAGGAATCTTGCCCTTCCCAGTAGGCTCAGGGAAAAGCAAACTGCTGCAACATATCCTGGCTTGTATGTTCTTCTTTGTTAATAAAATTTGCTCTTTTGACCACATTCTGGTATTGCTTGGCCACGTGTTTTCATCTTTGAAATGTTAGTGGGTATTCAAGGCTGGAAACAAGTCTGGGTGAGTCATTTCTTCATAGGGCCTCTAGCCAACCCCATTATTTGCTTTCCCTTGCAGGGCCCAGAACAACTCAGATAGTTCAGAGAAAGAGAGATAATTCCTGTTCCCTGATACATGGCATGGGAGAAAACAAGGAGGAAAGAAAAGCTGGAGTGGGGGAGGTAGAAAGGGAAAAAAAGAGAGGGGAAAAGATGCAAAAAAAGGGTGGAGAGCACAGAAGGGGAAATGAAAGAGTATTGGAGGGAGTGGGGACTAGGAGGGTTATATCCTAGGTGAAATTACTACTTGTGTGAGTGATTTACATAGTTTATTGCTAATATGTCTTTCAGGGCCGATTATATTTCATGTGTGGGTGAGGTAGGTGGTGGGTGATGACTGAAATGTGAGCCAGCCTCTCCCTTCCAAAGATCACCACTTAAAAATGCCCAGTTGTTACACTGGTATCCTGCTCCAAACAGGGTTGCCCTCTGCCTTGGGTGTTGACTGAACATTTCAGGCTGCCTGGTGATACAGAGAGCTTGCAGAGATATGAGCCAGCAAAGCGCCGGGGGGGGGGGGGGGAGTTCTGGCTTGGACTTTTCGCAAAACATAAGATCCAAAGGAGATCTAAAGGTCAGTGCATAGAAGGTCCAAAGCAAAAGGCGGAGGTCTGGGAGCTGAAGAACAGGCACTGTTCCAGCAGCCAGTTGCCCATAGGAGAGGGCTTTTATAAGCAGGTCTTAGAGCTCTGAAACAGTGGATGATCAGATGTGGCTTGACCTTACTTGTGTGTCACTGATTACTCACAAGGAATTCTTAGATGGGCACACTTTTGCTGGGCATCCTTCTGGGCCTGCATTCCCTAGGACAGAAACCACCAAATGTCTCAAGGCCAGGACCATGGAGGGCCATATCACCTCTTTTCAGAAGCCCCAACCTCCTCAGACCTGACAAATCACCTCCAACCCCCATACCCCCTCTATCCTCAAATCATTTTTCATTCTCAAATGGCCAACCACACTGTCTGTGAGGTATGAATTGCCATTTTAGCGTTATATCTAAAGATATCCTTCTTGGAATCTGAGATGAGGTGATAGCTAACATTCTGTCTCCAAATTAAAAGAGGTTCTCTCTGCACCCTGAGGATCACTTCCCAAGATTTTCAAGAAATTCTTACACAATCTTAAGTTTCTTTATGGAAGCAGTTAAACTTTTTTTTAATGCACAATGTCAGCATTCAGTTTGGCGGTGGGGGGGAGGTAGTGGTGCACATGACAACCTTCCTCATGTGCATTCTTGACTGGTGCAAATTCATCTTCTCCCACTGAAACTGGCAGTAGTACTCCTTTGATGCAGCTAGCGTAGTGTAGTGGTTTGAGCACTGGACTATGGCTCTGGTGACCAAGGTTCAAATCCCTGCATGGCCATGGAAACCCACCAGGTTTGGCAAGTCACACTCTCTCAGCCTCAGATGAAGCCTCAGCCTCAGATGAAGACAAAGGCAACTCCCATCTGAATAAATCTTGCCATGAGAATCCCATGATAGATTCACAATAGGGTTGCCATAAGTCAGAAACAATTTGAAGGCACAACAACAACCTCCTTTGATTGCGCAACATTGCCATTCAACACAAGGGGCTCATGGCACAATCTTTCTTTTTTAAAATGCCAACTGCTGTGTGAGTTGCATGGTGGACATTTCTGCTAAGATCACAGCCTGGGTGGAAAGGTTTGAATTTCCCTGTACCATATAGTACCAGTTAATATTCCCCTGCCTTTTGGTGCCTGATATTCTGGTTTGTTTGTTTTTTAAAGAGCTTGATTGATAATCAGTTGTGTTAGTAGTATCACAGGTCTTTAGGCCCTGATATGCAAACACTGTAATGACAATGTTAATGTTGCATTATACATCATAGAAATCAATGAAAAGAGAATAGACTGAAAAAAGAATCCTGCATGTGTTGTTTTTAAAGAAAAAAAACTCTTACAAAAATATCACAGATGCTCTCTGGATATATTACAATGACAAGGTGGGGAGCACCAGAGCATTTATCATCTCCTGAAATGCTTCCTTGTAGCTTGGACTGGATCCTCTCCCAGGGCTCTTTGAGCTAGATGAAGTGCCACTTTACCGGGATGGCCTGAATCACTTCATTTGGATGACTTTCCCTTAAGTGACTTGACAAGGCATGAAATATGCCACTGACTCCCACAGCTTTACCATGAAATGACAATCTGACAGATCACTTCAGGTAGCACATCCCTCAGAGGACACTGTTCCCTTCCCTCTAGCCTTCCTTTCTATGTGTGATGAAAAAGAAAAAAAAGGAAAGAAATGAGACAAGAACAAGATATGGTATAATTTCTCCTTTTTTCTTCATGTGTGGCTAGATGATGTGATACATCTCTCTATAGAAAGAGTATGAGGCAACTGATCTGAGGACCATTTTTGCTAGAACAGAGAATAGAAATCCTATCTATCTATCTATCTATCTATCTATCTATCTATCCATCCATCTCCATAGAATTCCTTCTGGGTCTTGTTTGGGTCTTGCTGGTCAGGGGCATTCCAGATGGACAGTAGTAAAAAGACATTGCACAGTCATTTGATTTTTTATCTCCCTTCTTAATAGGAATGTAGCTAGAAGGGGTGGTGGACAAAATAAAGACATTACTTCCTTCAAAATTAACTCTGCCCCCACTCAAATGCCTCTAAGGGAAGGGCATTCCGTATTACGCCACTGTAGTAGTAGCAAACAAGGGGTGATTGGGCTAACAAGTACATCTCAGTATTACTTCATAGTTAGGATAGCTAGTGTGGTAACTATGAAGCCAAGTATTATTATCAAATTAATAAACAATGGTTGATCATGTAGTCAACAGCAGGACAGAAGCAGTGTTTTCATTCTGTTTCCTTACATTCATCTTGTAGTATCTGTGAAAGAAATCTATAAATGCATGCACTATTACAAGTGTACATTTGGAATTCTTTTTAAATGAACCTGGATGGACTGCTGTCATATCATTATCTCCACTATTAGGTGAGGACAAGATGGTATATGTTGGTGGAATAACTGATCTAACAGAAAGGTTTTGGATGTCATGTTTGGTAGCAAGAACCAGGAATACATTTTTAAGTGTAAATTCACTTAAGCTTTATTCTGGAATCAAGATACTTCACTACAGCAATCCTTTTAGAAACAACTCTGAGTATTTCCCACCAAACCAGTACTTTAAAGCCCTCTGTCCAATCCCCTTTTCCTCCTCCTTGTCAAAGGATCTTTGAAGTTTAGTTCTTCCAGGTCCATCTCCTTTCATCTCCTGGGATCGGAAGGCAAACTCTCATACCAGTCATAAATCTGCCTCAATATCCCATCTATTTACAATGCCCATGTGCCATTCCCTTTCATTTCCTCCACTACACGCATCACCCCTTGATGGTCAGATTCCTATGATGAGAAGCATAGAATCCTGACATTCTTCCACCCCTGAAACATTTTATACTATTTAATTACATATATCAATCCCCTCCAGCTTGTCTGAATATTGTTGATGAAACTGTTGGACCAATCTGGGGCATCTACATGTCTGGCGTAGATCCATTAATTATGTGAGTCCGGGAAGTGTTGCCAGCTGACCAAATATTGTAACCTTTTCCTATGCCATTTGGAATCCAAAATCTTACCCACCTCAAAGTATTGTTCCCCCTCCAGCACTAATGGAGGCGGAGGTTTAGGCTCTTCTTTCCAAGAGTCCTCTTCCAGTGCTGGCTTTAGCAAACTGAAATGGAATACAGGGTGTAAGTGTTTGTATGTTTTTGGTAGATCCAACTCAGCTGTCACCTTATTGATGATTCATTTTACTACAAAAGGTCCCACAAACTTTGGGCCCAATTTTTTGGAAGGCTGCTGAGTCTTCAAATACTTGGTGGACAGTTAGACTCTGCTCCCAGATCTCAGCTCCCACTCCCTGTCCCTCTTTTGATCTGCAAACTTCTTGTAGGTCTGTTGGCCTCATCTAGGGTTGCCACAATGTGAGGCCATGCATCTTTGATTTTTGTAATCCACTGGGAGAGCAACAGTGGGTCCCCGTAGGTTCTGTGGTCAGAGCTAACAAAGTTTTCCGTTCATAGCCATAAACATCCTCAAAGGGTGAATGTCTGGTACTTTGTGAATTGTCCCATTGAAAGCAACTTCAGCATGAGGCAGTAAATCAAACCAATTGTCCTACAAATACCGGTAGTTGCCAAAACATTGAATATATTTTTCCAAAGAAATAAATTGTCCACCTCTATCAGTCACAATTTTATCTGGAAGTTCGTGATTTTTGTATATATGTCCAATTAATAAATCCGCTAATTTGGCTGTGCTGGGCAAGACTTTACACCCCACAATGTACCTGTTTTGAGAACAAGTATGTGACCACCCATATGGTATTTCTTCCCTTACTATCTGGTAAGTCCGTAATAAAGTTCATAGCTATATGCCTCCAGGGGCTGCTTGGCATGGGCAATGGTTGGAGCAACCCCTGAGGCTTGCCTATCACTGGCTTAGAGCAAGCACACACAGGGCAGCCTTTCACATAAACCTCTACATCACTCCAAGTTCCCTCCCACCAGTACTGTTTTTTTACCTGGAGTCAGGTCTTCAGGAATTCCCAGTGTCCCGCTGCCTTAGAGTTGTGGCACAACTGCAGAATTCTGGATCTCAGCTCTTCCGGAGCGTAGACCAGGTCTCCTTTGTGCCATAGACCATCTTTGAGCTCTAGGGTGTCCAGATAGTCTGCCAGCCAGTGATCCTTTCCCCCCACCTCTCTGATGTCTTGAAACATAGGGTACAGAGGTGCTGCTTGGGCCAGATCCTCCTTCTCTTGGTGTGCTTGACTCTGGGTGGTCACTGCCAGTGCTAGCTGTTCAGGGGTAAAAATAGTTTCTTCCAACATTTCTCTGGCTTTCATGTTGAGGCAATCTGGATAAAGTGTCTGCAAGCACATTTTCTTTCCCTGAGAAGGCTTTTAGCTTGAATCTGAATTCTTTAGCCCACCAACTCTGCTTTGGGCTTAGTTTTCTTGAAGCTTGTAAGGCTTCTAAATTGAAATGATCAGTCCAAACTTCAAAGGGATGGCTGGCCCCTTCCAGGAATTGGCGCCAAATTTGCAGTGCCCACTTGATGGCCACTGCCTCTTTCTCCCAAGTAGGCCAATTTAGTTGCACTCCCTGGAATTTTTTGGATAAGTAAGTGCATTGTCTTAGTTTCCCTTCTGAGTCCTTTTGCATTAATACAGCACCCAGTGCAACATCACTGGCATTGGTTTGCACAACAAAGAGTTAGTTTGGATTGGGGTGTTTTAAAATAGGCTTCACGCAAAAGAGTTCTTTCAGCTGTTCAAAAGCTGCTTGACAGTCCACACTCCACCAACCTTGGTGGATGGCTTGGGTTCCTCATTGGGTTCCCTGGGATGAGTCTTGGTTTTTAGTAGGTCAGTGATGGGCAATGCCAGTTGAGCAAAATTCGGGATGAACTTTCAGTAAAAGTTGGCAAAGCCCAAAAATCTTTGCACCTGCTTTCGCATCTTAGGTGGGGCCCATTCCTGGATCATTTGCACTTTGGCTGGATCCATTCCTATTCCCTGAGTGGACACTCTGTATCCCAAAAAGTCCAACTTATCTGTGTGAAATTTACATTTAGGCAGTTTCACCTATAGGAGGTGCTTCAAGACCACCCTCACTAGCTTGATATAGGAGTCTAAGTACTGAGAGTAAATCAGGACATCATCTAGGTAAACCAGGACTCCTTTAAACAATGTCATGCAAAACTTTGTTCATTAGTCTCAACAAAACATCCAGTGTGCCCAATAGCCCAAAAGGGAAAATGAGATATTCAAAAGCCCACAGGGGGCAATTAAATGCAGCCTTATATTCGTCCCCTTCTCATATGCATACCTGGTAGTAGGCATTTCTCAAATCAAGTTTGCTAAAGATCCCGCCAGTGGCTAGCCGACCCAGCATGTCCTTCATCAGAGGAATTGGGTATTTGTTAGTATTGCAAATCCAATTAAGGTTTCTGTAGTCCATTACCAGACCTAGCAAACCATCTTTCTTCTTCCGGAAGAAGACTGGGGCCCCAAACGTGGAGGTGGATAGGCAGATGAAGCCCCTAGCCAAGTTCTTTTCGACAAAGTCCTTTAAGATTTTCTTCTCTAGCAGGGTCATGGAGTATAGCTGGGACTTGGAGCTTCTGCCCCCCGCATCACTTCAATCACACAGTATGTTTCTTGATGGGGCAGGAGTTGGTCACACTCCTTTTCTTTGAACACCTCTGCCAAGTCTCTATCTTCCAGAGGATAGCCTGGTAGGCTCTCCACAACTGCCCTTCTGACCCTCTCTAGCAGTGAGTTGGATTGCCCCAATATGTCAACTTGCCCACTC